GGGTGACAAAGGGGGTGCGGTCGCACCCATCGCACCCCCCCATCTGACGGCCCTGAACTAGAATGGTAAATTGAACAAGTTCAATTTAAGACTCCAGATTGAGTAGCTGAGTAATTAACTGAGTAAAAAGCTGAGAAGGTAGCTGAGTAAGTACCTGAGTAAGTAGCTAAGTAAGTAGCTAAGTAAGTAATAACTAATTAAGTAATTGAGTAAGTAGTCAAATAAGTAGCTGAGTAGGGTATGTAGGAATTTTTGAAAGTATATTTGATCAATCTGCATCGTGAATACTGGCAAGTGCGAATTTCACCACATAGTGTGGGGCCATATTGTCGGCCTAGACGCGTCCGCCTGTCCGTCCTAACGTCCGGGAGTTTTCTCCAAAACCGCTAACCGATAACTCGAAACCTACTTCCTGTCAGCCATTTTGAAGTCAAATGCTAAAATCCTTGTCTGCAAACTTTAAGAAAAACAGCTTCACAGTTGCTTTTAAAACTTTAACATCTTGTTCAGCTCACTTTATTCTAGGTCTGATAAGGTTTTGGACCTGTAAGCTCAGTCATGGCAGCCATTTTGAATGTCATAAGAAAAGTTAGTGCGTGATAATACTTTGTATCATATTGAATGGTGTTTTTGAGTTTCCATACTTGAACTATTTAGTAGCTTTATAAATAATTTCAGATGTACTTTCTTGTAAAAGCCTATGTTATTGTAAACAGTAGTTATATGTGATAATTTTGTAAAAAGAAATCAGCAAAAACTTATAATCACTTTTTTATTGTCGGCCATTTTGGAATTTTCCATCCTAAAATCTTGTCTGTGAAGTCTTGTCTGCGCGTTTTCAGGTGAACCGTTTGATGGATCAATTTCAAATTTTCAGGGATGATTCTTAGTATAAAAATTTAGATCTGATTAGTTTTTTGGCATTCTATGTAAATGCAAAGGCAGCCATTTTGGATTTTCCGTCCTAAAATCTTGTCTGTAAAGTCTTGTCTACACGTTTTCAGGTGAACCGTTTTGTAGATCAATTTCAAATTTTCAGGCATGATCCTTAGTATGAAAATCTAGAACTGATTAGTTTTTTGGCATTCTGGATAAATGTCAAGGCAGCCATTTTGGATTTTTCGTCTTAAAATCTTGTCTGTAAAGTCTTGTCTACATGTTTATATGGTGAACCGTTTGGTAGATTAATTTCAAATTTTTAGGGATGATTCTTAGTATGAAAATCGACATCTGATTAGTTTTTTTGCATTCTGCGTAAATGTCAAGGCAGCCATTTTGGATTTTCTGTCCTAAAATCTTGTTTGTAAAGTCTTGTCTAAGCGTTTTCAGGTGAACTGTTCGGTAGATCAATTTCATATTTTCAGGGATGATTCTTCGTATGAAAATCTAGAAACAGATTAGTTTTTTTACATTTTGGGTAAATGTTAATGCAGCCATTTTGGATTTTCCATCCTAAAATCTTGTCTGTAAAGTCTTGTTTACATGATTTCTGGATTTTCCATCCTCAAATTGTGTTGGTAAAGTCTTGTCTACTCATTTTCAGGATAACCATTCTTGTTTTGACTTATATTTCGGGCACCATATTTCAAAAGTGGGTCAAAAAACTTCTTGGCAGCAAAAAGTTAACATTATTAGCACACTCTTTGCTACATGTATACAAAATTTTGAAGAATATCATTGAAGTGTAGTGTCAGAATCGCAAAAATAAGAAAAAAACTATGAATTTGACCTACATTTTGAGCTAGGTATTTTGGTGTCCAAATTTTGAAGGAAAGTAGCTTTTGAGGTCCCATTCTTCTATGGGCTTTCATTATATTTAGCTCATTCTATATCTCTTATTTTTACACTTCAAAAAATTATTCGGTCCCATTGATTTAACTCGGGGCACCAAATTTAGAACAGGAAGTCGGATCGAAATTTGGTTCGCAGATTCAGATTCCTGAGAAAATTCTACCTTTATTTCAGAGCTCATATATTAAATTTGGGGAACTTTTTAGTTTGACCTACTTTCCGGACGCCATATCTCAAAATCTGTAAGAGTAATGGTTTGCAGATTTGGATTCCTGAGAAAATTCTACCCTTATTCTATAGCTCATATGTTAAATATGGAGAACTTTTTAGTTATCCCATCGAACGAAGTTCGGACGGATATAGGGAACGCCTCCGTCCGTCTGTCCATCCGTCCATCCGGGCAATAACTCAAATACCGCTGGCCCGATTTTGTTCATATTTTGTACACACATTCCAAATGGGAGTAGAAGTTCTGCTCGAAAACCGATTTTCAAAATGGCCGCTCAAAAGAAAATGGCAGTCATTTTAGTGCCGATTTTACAGTAATTTAGGTACTGCATATAAAACTGTAATAGCAATATGTTTTAAATGTAAAAAAGTTACATAAAACATTGATTAAGCTAGAAATGTAATTATAGAAGAGATACATGGCAGCCATCTTGAAAAATGGCTGCCTTTGCACGTCATTTTACGATTTTTGCTGTTTCTTAGTGGAGCGATTTTGTTCATATTTGGTATGTGAATACTTTAAGCATGGCACAATGTCTAATAAAGTGGCCAAAATAGCTGAAATACAGATTTCGACCTAGATTTCGATCTTTGACCCAGATAAGGATTTGACCTAATTTCCCACCAACTACGCCTAGCCCCCTAATAATGTGTACGAGTAAATTTATCCAAATATCTCTGTTGATGAGAACGTGTGTGTAGAATGATTTTTCCACATACAAAAGCAAAAATTACTCGATATGTAAATTGAACAAGTTCAATTTAAGACTCCAGATTTCAAACTTTTTTTTAAGCTGAGTCATTAAGAATAAGCTGAGTCATCCAAAAGAAGCTGAGTAAGTAGATGATTAAGTAATTGAGTAAGTAGCTGAGTAGTTGGCTGAGTAAGTAGCAGAGTAATGTAGGCAGGTAGGAATTTTTGAAGGTATATTTGATGGATCTGTATTGTGGATACTGGCAAATCTGAATTTCATTGGAAGTGGGATTGAAATTTGGTTTGCAGATTCGGATTCCTGATCCTACCCTTAATTCATAACTCATAACTTAAGTTTGGAGAACTTTTTATTTTGACCTACTTTTCTGACACCATATCTCAAAAGTGGGTCAAAATACTTTCTGACGGCAAAAGGCTAATACTATAAGCACACTCTTAACGTGTACTGTCAGAATCGCAAAAGTAAGGAAAAACGATGAATTTGACCTAGATTTTGACCTAGGCATTTTGGTGTCCAAATTTTGAAGCTAGGAAGCTTTTGAGGTCCCCTTCTTTTATAGGCATTCATTATGTCAAGCTGTACAGAACTTTTTATTTTGACCTACTTTTTCGGACACCATATCTCAAAAGTGGGTCAAAATACTTTCTGATGGCAAAAGGCTAACACTATAAGCACACTCTTTTCTACCGGTATACAACATTTTGAAACAAAACATTAATGTGTAGTGTCAGAATTGCAAAAATAAGGAAAAACTATGCATTTGACCAAGATTTTGACCTAGGTATTTTGGTGTCCAAATTTTGAAGCTACGTAGGTAGCTTTTGAGGTCCCCTTCTTTTATAGGCATTCATTATGTGAAGCTGTACAGAACTTTTTATTTTGACCTACTTTTTCGGACACCATATCTCAAAAGTGGGTCAAAATACTTTCTGATGGCAAAAGGCTAACACTATAAGCACACTCTTTTCTACCGGTATACAACATTTTGAAACAAAACATTAATGTGTAGTGTCAGAATTGCAAAAATAAGAAAAAACTATGAATTTGACCTAGATTTTGACCTAGGCATTTTGGTGTCCAAATTTTGAAGCTAGGTAGCTTTTGAGGTCCTTTTCTTTTATAGGCATTCATTATGATAAGCTGTACTCAGTCTATATCTCGTATTTTACACTTCAAAAAAGTCTTTTTTCTATTGGCTTAACATGGGGCACCAAATTTTGCCATTTTTGAGCTTTTAAAACGTCATAACTTCTGAACTGGATATCAGATTGAAATTTGGTTTGCAGATTCAGATTCCTGAGAAAATTCTACCTTTATTTTAGAGCTCATATGTTAAATTTGGGGAACTTTTTAGTTTGACCTACTTTCCGGACACCATATCTCAAAATCTGTAAGAGTAATCAAAAAACAGATGGCATATTCTCAATTCGGCATTTTCTAAGCTACATAATGAGATGTATATCCAGGTGTTATGATAAATAATGACGAAGATAATTGACAAAATGTTAAAAAAGTAAGATTTGACCAAGTTCTTGACCTTTGACCTAGATAAAAAAAATTTATAGTTGAAATTTAGTTTTGAAAACTTTTGAAATTTGACCTTTTTCAGTTTTTGAGTTCTAATATCTCAAAACTGGTGCATTTAATGGATAATCAATTGCTTATATGTGTAGAACCTTTTGAGGAACTCATATCCTGACTTTCATCCATAAATATAGATTTGTATCCACCAATTTTGAGAAAATTAGAAAAATACAGTTTTTGATTTAATATGATGACCTTGACCTTTGACCTTGCAAATTTTACTCTTTTAGACCTCGGAAGGTCATTTGAATAAATAAAAAAACAATCACAAACAAAATCAAAGGTCACTGAAGGTCAACCAAAGGTCAAAAGTAAGGTCAGATTTGAAAAAAATTGGTCAATTTGAAGCTAGTTGAAATTTAGTCTTGAAAAGTTTTGAAATTTGACCATTTTTCAGTTCTTAGTGCCTCTTATATGCAGAAACATGAATTATCAATAACCCCTTTCATCAAGATGTTTTAAATGAAAAATCTTTGGACATTTTATTTATTTAGATTCTATAAGTTTTGGACACAAATCCAAGGAAACATTGTGAGAGAATTGACCCATTCTGGCTCAGAGAAATCTACCTGAATGACCAGTTCACAATTTACAACTAAGGTTATTTTCACAATGTACAATCAAGCTACACTCCCTAGACCCACCTCTAGTATATTATGAATGATTATTTGTTGAATGTAGGCTTTGTGAGGAAGAGATGCGCTTTGAACACCAGAGAGATCTTGATGATAAAGCTGCAGAACACATACATGAAACACAAACCATGTTATCTGAATTTAATGAGGCACAAGAGATGTTAAAAGACAAGATATCAGCTCTTCAAATAATGTGAGTATCATTGTTAAACATTGTGGTAAGCCACGCCCTCTCCATCTCTATCCTTCTGGAGAGACCGTGGTCTTATGTGGACTTTGTTTCGATCTCCACGATCCTCAAATCAAGCTTTTTCGAGCTCTCCAATCAGAAGCATGAAACACGATGACGTATGTTGATTGACATGAGATTTAAGGGTGCGGTAGGTGCAGCACCTCAGTCCAACACAATACACAGAATGGCATCGCTAGTTAGTCTATCCCCATCGTAAAACTGAATTTCAGTCGGGATTGTTGTACAAACTTGAGCTTAGGTGGCATTTTGAACTGAGACTAACTTTAAGCTTAGGAAAGGAAAGTTGAATCTCGAAATGAAAAAAATACGTTGAATAAAAACAGCTTTAGCACTTACCCGGTCTAAATTCATCTAAATCATACAGTTACATTACATGAGATCTATAAAGAGCATTTAATCGATGAATAAAACAAAGAGATTTGAAATGTATGAATTATAAAGACATAACGAATTTTTGGATAGCCGTCACAATGGCTATGGAAGGTCATGTGACTCACTTAGAAATAATTCATGGGATTTGTTTCGTCCAGTTGGAATTTATCCGATAAAACTTTGACCGTGGTATGTTTGTTTAACTTTGAGAGATGTCATTCTTATCGCAATTTTGTCAAATTGATGTGTCTTAAATCAATTATTTCCTGTTCGGTTTATCTGATTGGTCCTTATTCAAAACGTCACCGCTTAAATCAATATTATGAATATTTGGGCCCACCCCTTTCAGGCCCGTAAGACACTTTTCTCCAAAGGGGGTGCGGTTTTTAGCTTACTAAAGAGAATATAAAATTGTCCATTTTTTTGCTGCGTAAATTAAATCGCGTAAGTCAGAGGGGGGGGGGGGGTCAGTTACTCCCTATATTGGTTTGGAGATTGGAGATTGTGAGGAGTGGTCCACTCTCCCTAGAAAATTTCACAGTTTTGAGATGCTATTTGGTGCTTTCTGGGCACTTTCAAAGTGTAAGTTTCCAAGTAGTACGCCACCACCGCAGGAATAAGAGTTGAGTGAATAAAAACTGAGCATTCAGGGGGGTCTGTGGGTTCTCCCCCAGGAAAATTTTGAAATTTGGTTGTATTTGGAGCGAATTTGCAACCATCTGGTACGCCTGTGCGTTATGAGTCAATAAGAAAAATGTGTATTTTTTTCAAATTCTTTTGGGGGTGTCAAAGTGGATGAGAGGGTGAAGTGGGGTGGGGTGCCAGTAGGGGAGCAAGGGGTTGTCCCCCAGAAACATTGACCATATCAAGGTGCTATTTGATGATGTCTGGGCACTTAAAAAATGTCTGAGACAATACATGAAATTCAGAATATTTTCTTTTGTTTTGTGGGGGATGTGAGGGGTGGCTAACTCTCCTAGAAAATTTTACAATTTAAAGATGATATTTGGGCTTCTGGACTCTTAAAGTGTATTAGTCAATAAAAACATTGAAAAACAATCACAATTTTTTTCAAATTTTGGGGGTGTCAAAGGGGGGGGGGGTGCCAGAGGGGGAGGTGGGGCTGGGGTGCCAGAGGGGGAGGTGGGGCTGGGGTGCCAGAGGGGGGGGCAAGTGTTTGTCCCCAATATCAAAATTTACAATATCAAGGTGCTATTCGATGAAGTTTGGGCACTTTAAAAGTGTCTGTGCCTAAAAATGCCTATTTCCCAAGAAAATTTTACAATTTTAAGATGCTATTTGGTGCTTTCTGGGCACTTTAGTCAATAAAGTCAATAAATATTGGGGGGGGGGGTGTTAAGGGGGGGGGTCTTCCAGAATCATTAACTTAATCAAGGATGATGATGATGTCTGTGCAATTTAAAAGTGTCTGAGACAGTACATAAAACAAACTCAGAACTTTTCCATTGTTTTGTTTGGGGTGTGAGGGGTGGCCCACTCCCCCTAGAAAATTTTACAATTTTACAACGCTATTTGGTGCTTTCTGGGCACTTTCAAAGTGTATGGGTCAATTAAAGAATTTGAGAAAATCACAATTTTTTTTTTTTTGGGGGGGGGTCAAGGGGGGGGGGGGCGCCAGAGGGGGGGGGGGGGTCTATGCAAGTTCAAGATGCAAGAGGGGGAGCAAGTCCCCCAAAAACACTAACTATATCAAGGAGCTATTTGATGATGTCTGGGCACTTTAAAAGTGTCTGAGACAAAACACTAAAATAAAATAAAGGACGATTCTCGGTTTGGAGAACGAAGTTTATCAATCTAAATGAGCATTATCCCTGCTTCGGACAAATTTGATTTTTTTACATAATATAGATTTGAATGTCTTCTTTTGAATAGTCATAATTTAATTTGGGTAATATTTCTAGATTTTTCGCAAAAAAATATTAGTGCAGTATACTAATGAACTTTTTTTCCCCAAATCGAGACTTGTATTTTATTAAGACGGTCTAATTGAGCGTTATCCCTGCTTCAGACCAATTTGTTATTTTTACATCTTGTAGATATAAATGTCCTCTTTTGAATATTTATAGTTTTATTTGGGTAATATTTCTATATTTTTCATGAAAAAAATTATCAGCCCAGGAGACTGTTCTCCAAACCGAGAATCGTCCTTTAGAACTTTTCCATTGTTTTGTGGGGGGTGTGAGGGGTGGCCAATACCCCTAGAAAATTTTACAATTTTAAGATGCTATTTGGTGCTTTCTGGGTACTTTCAAAGTGTATGAGTCAATGAAAAAAAAAATTTTTTTCAAATTTATTTTGGGGGGGTGACAAAGGGGGGTGCGGTCGCACCCATCGCACCCCCCCCCCCATCTGACGGCCCTGCCTTTAATCAGCATCTCAACCTGGAAATATCAGAGAATCTGCGATGCAACAGAGAGAGATTCTATGGTTTTGAGTATGTTTTAAGTGAAATGGGGAATATTTCGCTCAAGTCCCAACTACACCATTTTTACTGTACATGGGACAAAAAAATCTTGCATTTTGTTACCATACAAACTGATATTAGTTTAACAATGTTGGAAGTATGTTTGAAAAAAATCAGTCACATATAATGATAAATTGCAATCATTTGGGAAGGCATTAGGTCAACCTGAAATGTTTGAAATAATTGACAGGTTTAGACAACAAATACTGCAATGTTGGTCTGGTTATAATTGTAGGCTTGAGGAAGCTGAGGATCGTTATAGGAACAGAGAATCTCGGGATGAAGATGTAGAAGCCATACAACAATTAAAACAAGCCTTATTGGATAAACATAACGAGATGAAGAAACTCATTGTAAGTAACTGCACATAGTTTTTTTTTACATACTTCACATTTTTTCTATAAATCAATTGGTTACAATACAAATTGCCATTGTTGACAGGACAACATAATCAGCAATTGACTGCACATAGTCTTGCTTCAAGCACTGTGGACCTCCCGCACACTCCTAGTGAAGTAGATTAGAAGGGCCAGGGGTCCAGGGACTCGATACAAGACTAAACTGCACAATTAAGTTCAAAGAGTTGGGAGAATTTGTAATTTCCTTGATTTATTTCAAAGATAATCCTGTGGTCGTTTAAATTTTAATTTACCGTTTATCAATTGATTTATCTATTAATCTGTTAATTCAATTTATTTGACTTTTCTCAATTCCAGGATGACAAGAAATATTTCCAAATGGAATTAATGAACCGTGAAACAAACTTTAACAAAGTATTTACAGCTGAACCTAATGTTGGGGTACTGAACCCTCTGTCAGTCAAACGGAAGAAGGGGAACAAAGGAGGGAGTACAAAGTACACAAGCAGTGCCCCAATGTTGAACAATGTAGGTGGCGCCACTAGACTTAACCCCCTCCCGGGATCACCAGTTCATGACGAAAAACTGAATCCACATGGACCCCTCCCACCCATGACCAAAAAATTTGTGAAATGATCTTAATGTAAATGAATAAAAAATGACGTCTAGACTCAGAAATGTGTGAGTTCTCTGAACTTTGTAAGGAAAGGGAAATACTTCATCATCACTTCTGAATATGATGTAAGTCTAGTTGAATGCAACTGTAAAACAACTATTTATGACTAACAATACTCATGAAAATTTTATGACTAGAAGATGGTGCTTGACAACATAAAAACAGTTAATATTTGTAATTTATATTCGTTTGAGTTCACAAATTTAGAATATACATTATCTCTTATACCAGATAAGAAGTTTTGTGGGCCGACCCCTTGTGCAACTGATATGAATATATTACTTTGATTTAGTAAATACGGCTGTTTAGTAAATACGGCTGTGAGGTTTGTGCTTCATTCTGGCTTTTGACGCCGCAAGATAAACATCAAAAAATAAATATATTTTTTGAATTTGTATCACTTTCAAAAAGTTGATAGATTGAAGAGTTGTTGCATACCTTTTAGGCCTCACAACGAGAGGTCCTCAAAATTTTGAGGTTTTAGTGGTGTTAATAACTCTGAAAATCAATAGACTCAACTATAAATACTTTACTGAACGCATTATATATATCGGGTGTCTCAAAAAAATGTACCCAAAAGTATATCAAGAGCACAGATAAACCAATCAATATTTTCAGACATTTTTTGCATGGTCATGTAGCCAAAACATGAAAGTTTTCTCCTCAATACACCATTTTTATTTCAGTCTTGTCTTTTTGATGCTTTAACCATTTACCTTTTATACCACATGATCGATGTAACTTCATATTCCGATGACAGCCTGTATCCTTACTGCTACATTGTTCATCACATTTGATAATAATTCCGGTGGAATGTTTTGGATTTCTCTTTGGATGTTGCCCTTAAGTTGTTCTAGGTCTTTTTGCTTGGAATGAGCATTAAAAGACTCCTTCAGATAGCCACAGTGAAAGATGTTTGAGGATGACGATGGCAGAACAAACATGGATAATCAGGTCAATTATCGGCAAATGATTCAGGAGTTACCTTCCAGAGTTAGGGAGGCTAGCCTGGAGACCAAATGATATCCAAATGAAAACACAGTGGTCTCAAATTGATCCACACAACAAAAGCTACACTAGAGTCCCAGCCAATGCAGTTTCTTGAACCTCCGACCTCTCTGTATAAGGGGGCTATAAGACATTGTGAGGGCCTCCCTATTGACCATATTTGACGGCCCATATTTTTTTCTCTGAGGCTATTTGAAGGACCATTTTTATGCTAAACCCAGGCTAAGAGACCCATAACAACTTAAGACCAGCATCCAAACAGAAATCAAAACATTCCACCAGAAATATCAAATGTGATGAACAATGTAGTAGTAAGGATGCAGACTGTCATCGAAATATGAGGTTACATTGAATATGTGGTGTAAAAGGTAACGGGTTAAAGTATCAAAAAGGCAAAACTGAATTAAAAACTGTGCATGGGGGAAAAACTTTCATCTTTTATCTGCACGACCATGCAAAAAATGTCTGAAAATATTGATTGGTTTGTCTGTGGTGTTGATATACTTTTGGGTACATTTTTTTGAGACACCCTATATACTCCTCAAAAAGGGTTAAGGACCAGTGGTTTACCTCATAGGTTTACATGTTAACCCCCTTATTTGTTTGAACGACTATTTTATAGGCGTGGAACAAAAGAAACCCCGATAAAGTAAATAAATCTGTTTCTTGATTCTATTCTCTATTAAAGGAATATTCCTTGCCAGACCCTTTCTCTCTTGATATGGTAGCTATAATCATATATATAGTTTCCATATTTAGCAAAACATGGGAAAATGTTTTAATATGGTCAATATTGATCATTTAAAAATCTAGTGCTTATTTCCAGTGAGCTGCCATCTTTTAAGATTTCTTGCAGGAAGTGATGTCATCAACTCTCAACTTCTATAACCTTGCCCATCACAGTATAGGGAAGTAGCACAAAATCACTTCTAGACAAGTGATCATTACTTTCTGTGCAAAAATATTTTCAGGGCTTGTCAACTTAGAATAAAAGAAGAGATTTTCAGAAGGATTAAATAAGATACAAAGTTGAAAAAGAATATTTAGCCGGTTTTGATATTCTTAATAGCTCCTCACCTAATGTTATATGCAAAGCTGAGAGTCGATGACATCACTTCCTGTGTGAAATTTTAAAAGATGGCAGCTTACTGGAATTGAGCATCACATTTCTAAGTGATCAAATTTGACCATATCAAAACATTTTTGCGTGTTTTGCTAAACATGGCAAGCATATATATGGTTATAGCTACCACATGAGGAGAGAGATGGTTTGGCAAGGAATATTCCTTTAAGGCTGCAAACTTCAATATCATATCTCCATGGGTCAAAATTTGATGTTAAAATTGATAAATTTCATGAAATTTAACAAAAATGACAGATCCCATGTTAAACAAATGGAGAATGGTGGCTTAGGGGCAACTCAAATTTTAGAATATCTATTCAGTAAAACATTTGTTAAAAATACTTTCTGAGTAGAAAATCGAATGATTTTACATGCTAAATGTCTCCCTTATATTGTGAAAATTAGCGATACGGAGCTTTTAAGTAATTTTGACCACCTCACTGACCACCTGTGTTATTTCAATAAGAGGATCTTTAAAAATTATTGAATTTGAAACCATTAACTTTTGTAAAGCCTGGACAGTCATATTTTTGTCCAGTGGACAATTTAGCAAAGGATTGGTATCGATATGGAGAACTGAATTCAACAATGTTTTTCTCTTAAAGGAATATTCCTGGCCAGACCATTTCTCTCCTAATATGGTAGCTATAACCATATACTGTATATACTTTACATATTTAGCAAAACAGGGAAAAATGTTTTGATATGGTCAATATTGATCACTTGAAAATGTAGTGCCGAATTCCAGTAGGCTGCCATCTTTTAATATTTCATTCAGGAAGTGATGTCATCGACTCTCAACTTTGCATATAACACTATAAGGAGCTATTAAGAATTACAAAACCAGCTGAATATTCTTTTTTCAATTTTGTCTCTGATTTAATCCTTCTAAAAGTCTCTTCTTTTATTCTAAGCTGACAAGCTCTGAACATATTTTTGCGCATAAAGTAAGGATCACTCGTCTAGAAGTAATTTTCCTATACTGTTATATGCAAGGTCATGAAAGTTGAGAGTCGATGACATCACTTCCTGAGTAAAATCCTAAAAGATGGCAGCTTACTGGAAATGAGCACTACATTTTTAAATTATCAATATTGACTATATTAAAACATTTCCCCATATTTTGCTAAATATGGAAAGTGATTATAGCTATCACATCAGGATAGAAAAGGTTTGGTCAGGAATGTTCCTTTAACCCAATTATTGAAAACATTCTGTAAAAAAACAAAGTCCTTTATGTAATGTTGACTGATTGACAACAATTTAATGCGAAAATAATTTATATTTATGATCCTTTGTTTCTTTGCGTTCGCTGCTTGCTGGTTGCATTACATTATTATTAAACATAATAAAATATTTGCTTGCCATAAGTTTATTTGCACATTAACGTGCGTAATCACAATTACGTTACGTAATGTTACATAACAGCATCATTGTTTACATAATCGTAATTATTAATTAATGCAAGTTGGGCATTAACAAATAAAGCCCAGCGTTATGAAGTCATAACATACAAATTATAACCTTTCTAAATAATAAAAGTAAGTGAATACATGAGGGTGGTGGTAGGGGTAAGGGTGGCTTTGATTTAGTCACTAAGCACAATAAAATTGTATAAAAATGTTAAGTTATGATAATCAATTCGATAAAACAGAAATAACTCACCAAATCTCTCAAGTGACTTGATTGTATCCTTAAACGTTTATCGAATGCAAGTGTTGTTAACACTGCCAGATTATAACGTTGTAGCCACGCCCCTACCGATGACGTACGCTAAATGATGAAGTTGACGAATGGAATCACAAAGACATAAAATCCCTTATTTACAATAAGTGGAATATTTATGATCCTTTGTTTCTTTGCGTTCGCTGCTTGCTGGTTGCATTACATTATTATCCCATCGAACGAAGTTCGGAGGGATATAGGGAACGCCTCCGTCCGTCGTCCGTCCGTCCGTCTGTCCGTCCGGGCAATAACTCAAATACCGTTGGCCCGATTTTGTTCATATTTGGTACACATATTCCCTATGGTGCTAGAAGTTCTGCTCGAAAGCCGATTTTCAAAATGGCCGCTTATTTCAAAATGGCGGCCATTTTAGTGCCGATTTTACAGTAATTTAGGTGCAATATGTAAAACTGTAATAGCAATATGTTTTAAATGTAAAAAATTATAAAGGACATTAATAAAGCTACAAATGTAGATATTAAAGAAGCACATGGCAGCCATCTTGAAAAATGGCGGCCTTTACTCGTTATTTTACGATTTTTGCTGTAACTCGAAAAGTAGTGGAGCAATTTTGTTCATATTTGGTATGTGAATACTATAAGCATTGGACACTGTCTAAAGACATTTTTGGTAGAAGGCGGCCATTTTGAAAATGGCCGCCATTTTGACGTATTTTACTATAACTTGAAAAGTAGTGGAGCAATTTTGTTCATATTTGGTATGTGAATACTATAAGCATGGCACACTGTCCTATGACACTTTTGGTAGAAGGCGGCCATTTTGAAATTTTTTTTGATAAAATGGCCGCCATTTTAACGTATTTTACTATAACTCAAAAAGTAGTGAAGCGATTTTTTCATATTTGGTATGTGAATACTATAAGCATGGCACACTGTCCAATGACACTTTTGGTAGAAGGTGGCCGTTTTGAAAAATGGCCGCCATTTTAAGGTATTTTACTTTAACTGGAAAAGTAGTGGAGCGATTTTGTTTATATTTGGTATGTGAATACTAAAAGCATGGTACACTGTCTAATGACACTTTTGGTAGAAGGTGGCCATTTTGAAAAACGGCCCCATTTTAACGTATTTTACTATAACTTGAAAAGTAGTAGAGCGATTTTGTTCATATTTGGTATGTTTCATATTTTATATGTGAATACTATAAGCATGGCACACTGTCTAATGACACTTGGTGTAGTAGGCGGCCATTTTGAAAAATGGCCACCATTTTTACGTTTTTACTATAACTTGAAATGTAGTGAAGCGATTTTGTTCATATTTGATATGTGAATACTCATGAGCCTTGCACACTGTCTCATGACACTTCAGATAGTAGGCGGCCATTTTAAAAAATGGCTGTCATTTTTACATTTTTTTACTATAACT